GGACCCCTAAACTCGAGGCAAGGCCCAATGAAGGTCAGCTCATTTGACAATCAATCTCCCGACGAAGTAAAGCCGAACATCTTCCCGCGGAGTACTGCTACCTGAAGCCTGTGTAATTATGCTGATGGAACATATAACCTCCGAAGTGGTAACGTAGAATTCATAATGAAAAATGAATAACCAAATACAACTGTGTTGGGAGAAATAAATAAAAAGTTTTTGTAATGAAGTAGTAAGTTCTGTAATCGAGTAGAAATATAAAATAATTCCACTTCCGAATAACTCAACTAGTTACAAATATCACTATTGAATATTCAAGAGCAAACTTGTTGAAAGAAGTGAATACAAAGATACAGAAAAAAATTAAAATAAACCACTTGAAGAGAATACAATCTAAACATAAGAATACACGAGTACTGCCAAATGAAAAGTGACAGTTCAGTAGAATTGAAAAGACGGAGTCACATGTGTCAAGACAGTATGTCACACTCTTATTGGTGGAGGGTTGTTGTATGATGATTTGCATTAGAATCAGTCAATTCCAAATGGGTGGGAGCTTCAAGGCTTGTGGCATTTGCAATAAATTTTGCATACAGAGGGAAGCACTGAACAAGAATGGCTATTTATGTGAGAAGAGGTAATGTATCATATCAGAATTTATGGTTTATTTAAAATACTTTCAAGGGTAAAATTTTTTTTAAGCACTTGAAAAGCATTACACATCAGTATTCAATGTTTTGATTGGAGGTTTATACTTTCTGCAGGAGATTTATTAACAACACTATGGTAAGTACAAGTTAAAATAAGCAGGAAACAACTTGTGTGAAATCAGTATCTCTGATACTGTGTTTCATAAGAGAGCACATTTAACACAAGTTTTTCCTATTCAGTTTAATTTTTGCTTTCCACAGATTCACTACTTATTTCTTTCATGAAGTTTTAATATTGTTTATGTTTTCAAGTTTCCACCTTTTAAAATAAAAGATATGCTAACAAAATGCATACAAGTGTGGTATGCTTGTTACAGTATTATCAGTAACTAAAATAAATACTGATTTTTAAATACATACAAGTAAAAATTATGAGTTTTTGTGTTTTCAGGGTAATTTTGTGTACATGTAAGTTATCATGACATCATTATTTGTTTTAACTAGTAACGTATGGTCTAGTTATCCTGAATGTTTACATGAAATTGCTGTTGAACAAAATGCTATGTAGCACAGTGTACATGTAGATTCAGTGTCAAAAACTGAGTATCTTCTTGTATTATACAAGGTGTTTAAATCTTAAACTAATTGTTAACTGAAAGTTTTAGATAAATCCTTCATAGCATTGTTGTTTTCTAGTTTTTGTTTCTGTAGGTGTAAGATAAGCTCTTTGTATCTACATTTTTTCAAGATTATGTAGAAAATAATGCTAGGCAATAACCTGTCTAAAATTTAAAGCTAAGACACCACATGTGTGACCTGTCATTTAATCATAAAAGGAAAACTTCTGAAAAACCATTACTTATAAGAACTTCTGAGTGAAAGTAAAGAAGAGTGTATAGTAATATACCAACCAAACTATATCTACTATATACAATACCAGTAAGGCCTTTTTCTCAGTATAAGGACTCTCCAGGTTGGTTGGGTTATGACATTAGTGGTTGAGATACTATTTATTATCATCAAATTGCATGAACAACTGTTTCTGGATGAATTAAATTAAGTTGGTGAAGTGTAATGTTAATCAATTTTATTGAAGTCACTACATATCAGAACTAGTGTAAGGAATTTCTACCGTATATTATTTATTGTAACACCATATAGTTTATTATTTTGTATTTATTTTTACTTGATTTAACTTATTCATAAGGTGTGTCAAATCAGCAAACTGGTATTCTTGACTATGTGGTATTATTGATCATATGAAACATGTTGTAATGTTTCTCTGTAGATTACTACTTAGACTGGTGAAAGATTATCATTTAAGTTATCTTTTTTTTTCAGTATCTATTGTGTAAGCCAGCAGTTCCTAAACTGTGGGTCACAACCCACCAAGATATTTTTATTTTAAAACTATTTATAAAATAATGATCTTGATATGTTTTGAACAAACAGAACAAAAACACAAAATATATAAGCACTACTAAACTTTACTGAAATGTATTAGAACTGTAATACTCCCCCACCCAAGTGATCATGGATCCCAGAAAATTGTCTTAATACTCAGGTGGGCCATAAACTAGTGTGAGCAGCATTAACAGATCAATTAAAATAAAACAAATTGAATTTCAATATCAATAATCAGTCTGATCTTAGACCTCCATAAGTTTCATGCACAACTCAGACCAAAGGCCTGGTAATTTAATAAATCTGGCAAAATAACAAACATAGAAATGAACTTGAATTGAGCAAGATCTTTTTTTTTATCACTAACCAAGTGTTTATCTTGCACAAGAAACCACAGTTTATAACTTACTCAGTTTTTGTCTATACTAATATCTACCTCTTAGATATATGAAATCACTGAGCTAGTATCCTAAACTTATACTTACTTTTTTATCTACACCTAACATCTAATATACGTCTCCTGACCATATAAGCTAGCTTTTCTGCAACTTTGGAGTCACCTTGATTTTAAAACACAACTACATTTTATGACCTATAACTAATCCAAACATGGTAACTTAATGTTCTGGCTCTAAATGTACATTATTTTGAGAAAAAGTGTTACTAATACATGACTCATAAGTCTGCTGAAACATTGCCTATACCAAGATAAATCTTTTGTGTCATAGGGAAGGTATTTAGTCACACACACACACACACAGGTTGGTCCAAAATTATCTTTCCTATTTTAAAATTTAATAATTAAATAACTAAAGAAATACAACCATGCAATTTTCACCATCTTGTAAACAAACTCAAACAGTTTTTATTGTCATGTTGTATTTTTTCACTCCAGTGAGTAGTGTTACCCCGTAAAATGGCACCTTTGCAATAAAAGGTTCAATGTGTAATTTGACTTGCAGAGTACAAATCAGTGACTGTGGTGCAGAGTAATTACAGACACCAGTACAGGGAAGAACTATGGGGATATGTTATGGATATCATGTATCGCACACTATAGCAAACACCACAGAGCTGAAGACAGGATAACAGGTGCCACTGCCACTATAACTGTGGACATGTTGCCGTAAACTTGGACTGAAATTGAATATTGGTTAGACATGCTGAGAACCACTAATGGTGCACTCACAGAAGTCTACTGACATGTCAATAAAAACTGTTTGAGTTGGGCTACAAGATGCTGAAAACTGCATGTTGTATTTCTTTAGTTATTTCATTATAAAAGAGGAAAGATAATTTTGGACCACCATGTATACCAGATTATTCAAAAGTCACACCCCATATTAGGGCACATGGCAAGTGACCTGTTGCATCACAAATGTTCTGCACATTTCTCACTAGTTGCAAATAATAAAACTGCCCTCTAGTACCTAATTAACCTTTGGAATTAAAATTACCAGAAGTTCTACTCTGTAACAAAACTACAATTTGAACTATAAAAAACAAAATGTACAGACAATATCAAATTAAGGGTTTAAACTAACTCTGAAATATTCTCATCTGGAGAGTCTGATACAATTTTATTGTATCATTTATAAGTTTAATCAGATAACAAGCATATGGAAGGATGTGATGGAAGAACATGACACACCAGTTACTCCTTAGGAGCGTTAAAAGATACATCAATAACTTAAACAACCCCCTGGGTAAAGAAACTGCTGGTAACATTAGTAATACCATATGCAAAAATTTAAAGTATACAACTTAAAAAGCAATTAACTTTGGAACATTTTAAAAGTGGAAAATGTCTTCATTGTCAAAGAAAGTATCCCACCTCAAAGATCCAGTGTAATGTATGAATTCAAGTCTAATTTGATGTAATACACAATACCAAGCATCACCTAGGAGATAGGATAAAATAACATATTCAAGCTAAATACTTTCATTCAATGACAGGCATAAAGAAGGACACAATGAAATAGCATGACACACCAGGGACTTCTCAGGAATTAAAAATGTTATCAGGCTCTTTAGAAGAATGGACATAATGCACCAGAGAAGATATTCTGATGCTGTAAAGAGAACCACAACTGAACCAAAAGAACTGTACAATTCCTTTGTTATTCAAAATATAAATGTGGTGTTGTAAACGTATGTTCATCTTTGTATATTCAAGTTTACTGATTTGCCTGAAAATGACCTAAGTCATGATCAAAAGCTTGCATGATGTGGTAAGAAAGACTAAACATATTTGTTAATGAACAAGTCAGGTTCATATGTCTACCCCTTTTTCTTTTTGGTTCCTCAATAACAGATTTAATTTTAATCCTCTGTGTAATTTGTTTTAGCACAATAAGTTTTGTTTTTAAATAATCACAACTAAATAAAAAATTTATTTGCAATCTTTTTTTATGTAAATTACTGAGATAATTTTATTCCTTTCATGTTAATTTTGTGTAAAGAACTATAACAGTTGTTTGTTAAGAAGATAAAATAAGAGCTCCCTCTAAACTCATTACAATCAGATGATTAATTCAAGATTAATCATTGTTACATCACATTTTACATTATAAGTGTACATTTTAAAAATATTTCCCTTGATAACTGTAGAGCTGGGCAATTAACTCAATTAACCAATATAATCAATTACCTATGAGCATTGATTACATCAGTGTCATGTGAAGTAATTCATTAATTGAAATTATGATTAAATTGATTATGTCATAAAAATAATCAAAATCACTGTTTCTGATGATTACTCTTTTCGATCATTTCAACCATCCAAGTTCCCGATAAGAATAATCAATTTGTTGAATGGAATCAATTAATGAACCCGATTATTAATGGATTATTAAAGTCAACTAATCAACCAACTCTAATTAACAGCATTTTATACAAGGTATTCTTACAAAGGAATTTGACAACCACTTCAATCTTTTTTACTACCTGTGTCATAAGCCACTGCTAGAACTTTCCCATCTGGTCTCCAAACCAGCACCTGTACTTTGACAGTATTATCTTTTCCTTTTGGTGGAGCCAGAGACCACACTTTTTTCCAAGACAAACGATGTAACAAAACTTCACCTTGCATTGTAGCTAAGGCAATGAGGTCCATTGTTGGAGACCACACCATCTGAGTAGCTTCTGATGGGACATGTCGTTCATCAACTTGACGAAATGAACACATTGCAGTACTAAGATGTTAAAAACAAAAAGATACAAAAAATCTAAGACAAAATAATATTGAGACCCTACTGATTTTTTTTAAAACAATTGTTTAATACTAGCATCATTTAATTTCAAATACAAAATAGGAAGTTTGGTATAGTAAAGTTTTAAAATCTAGATATAACTAAAATTTCAACACGGGAAGAATACACAAAATGAAATGTAGCTTTTCATGTAATATATATAGTAGTAAATTTAAATAATGTTTTAAAGATGGGATTTATCTTCTTGAATGATCTTACAACAGCATTTACCAAACTTTTGTCATCCATGCTCCTCCTTTAATAAATATGTTTTCTTGCATGCTCCCTTTTTTTTTAAATGAGTGAAACAGTAAGTTAAGTGATGAAATATACTACACAAATACATATTAAAATGCTATATGTGTTGTAGTAATTACTTATTAATATTATTTTCATTGACAAAAAATATATTTAAAATGC